AAATAAATTAAAATAAATAAATTAAAATAAATATATTAATATATAAATAAATAATTAGTAATAACTAAATATATATATATATATATATATATATTATATAAATACTAAATACGTGAATAGCAGATAATAATTTAATTATACAATTAAGTAAATATGAATAAGAAAAAGAAAATAATATATATATATATATATGTACATATATACATATATCTAGATAAATCTATAAACTATTAAATAAATAAATAAATATATATATATATATATATATACATATGTGTATATATACATACAAGCACATAGATAAAAATAACATATATATATATATATGTATATATAAATAAATAAATATATAAATAAATAAATATATAAATATATATATATATGTATAATTTTGCATGCAGCAACGCGTGGACCCTGTGTCTTTGTTTGACGCGTCGGTGGTGAAGGTGGAGGCAAATAAAAAGCACAGATTGACGCAGCATTTAGAAGAAGAAGCAAAGAGCTGCAGTTATTTAGTTTTGTGGTTGGACTGCGATAGAGAAGGAGAAAATATTGCCTTTGAAGTCATTAGCATTGTTGAAAGACGTCTTAGAAAAGATACACATAAACAACAGGTATTGCCCGTACTCCTCCTGCTGCTGCTCATGCATGCTGCTGCTGCTGCTGCTGCTGCTGCTGCTGGTGGTGGTCATGCTGCTGCTGCTTGTGCTTGTGCTGATGCGCTGCTTCTGCTGCTGCTGCTCATGCTGCTGCTGCTTTTGCTTGTGGTGGTGGTGGTGGTGCTGGTTATGCTGCTGCTGGTTATGCTGCTGCTGCTTGTGCTTGTGCTGCTGCTGCTGTTGCTTCTGCTGCTACTGCTACTGCTGCCGCTGCTGCTGCTGGTTCTCCTGCTACTGCTAATGCTGCTGTTGGTACTCGCGGTGGTGCTGCTGCTGCTTCTTCTGGTGCTGCTACTGCTGCTGTTACTGCTAATGCTGCTGCTGCTGCTTGTGCTGCTGCTAATGCTGCTGCTGCTGCTTGTGCTGCTGCTAATGCTGCTGCTGCTGCTAATGCTGCTAATGCTGCTGCTTGTGCTGCTGCTGCTGCTGCTGCTTGTGTTGCTGCTGCTGCTGCAGATATGGCGGGCTCGTTTCTCAGCCCTTGCAGCATCGGACATAAAGCGGTGGGTTTGTCTGCTGCTGTCTCCTTTGTTTTATTTATTTATTTATTTAGTTTCTTTGTTAATTTACTCGTCTGTCTTTCGTTGTTTATCTATATATTTATTTATTTATTTATTTGCCTCCGTTTTCAGTTTATTTATTTGTCTTAATTTATTTATTGGTCTTATGCTGCTGTTCTCCCTGCTGCTGCTGCTGCTCTTGCTGCTGCTCTTCCTGTTACTGCTGCTGCAGTTATATTGCTTCTACCGCTGCTGCTGCTTCTGCTCTTATTTTTTCTACTGCTGCTTCATCATCTACTGCTGCTTCATCATCTACTGCTGCTTCATCATTTGCTGCTGTTGCTGTGCTGCTGCTGCTGCTGTTGCGTTAATATAAATAAATTATATTTACTTTAGAGCCATGCAGACATTAGGCGCTCCAAACAAAGCTGAAAGCGATGCGGTCGATGCAAGACAAGAAATAGATTTAAAGATTGGCGCCGCCTTCACGCGATTTCAAACTCTCTTCTTTCAGGTACTTGTTTGTTTATTTATTTATTTATTTAGTTCTTTAGTTGTTTGTTTGTTTGTTTATTTATTTATTTAGTTGTTTATTTGTTTGTTTGTTTGTTTGTTTGTTTATTTCTTTGTTTGTTTAGTTGTTTAGTTGTTTAGTTGTTTATTTATTTATTTGTTTGTTTATTTGTTTGTTTGTTTGTTTATTTATTTTTATCTTCTTTTTGTGTTTGTTTAGCTGGTGTTGCTGCTTTCGTTTGCTCGCACCTCCGTTTGTTTTATTATGCATATATATAATAAGAATATATATATATAAATGCAAATATATATATATATATGTATATATATATATATATTAACAAGTAGATAAACAGACAAAAAACAAACCAACCGACATAAACAAACAAACAAAAATAAACAAACAAATAAACAAACATATATATATATATATATATTTATTAATTAATTAATTTATTTATATATTTATATATTTATTTATTTGTTTGTTTGCAGGGAAAGTATGGCGACTTGGACTCGTCTTTGTTGTCCTACGGCCCCTGTCAAACCCCTACTCTTCAGCTGTGCGTACACCGCAGCGATAATATTAATTCTTTTACGCCTGAAACCTTTTATTATGTAAGTTACACGCAATCCTCCTGCTGCTCCTGCTCCTGCTGCTCCTGCTCTTGCTGCTGCTGCTCCTGCTCTTGCTGCTCCTGCTGCTGCTGCTCCTGCTCTTGCTGCTCCTGCTGCTGCTGCTCCTGCTCTTGCTGCTCCTGCTCGTGCTCCTGCTGCTCCTGCTCGTGCAGCTGCCGCTGCGGCTGCTGCTGCTCGTACTGCTGTCTCCTGGTCCCCGCTGTTGCTGTTGCTGATGCTGTCTTTTGCTGCCTGTTAATTGTGCATGCTGCTGCTGCTGCTGGCATTTTCTGTTTCTTCATCTGCTGCTGCTGCTTCATATGCTGCTGCTGCTGCATCTGCTGCTGCTGCTGCTGCGGTTGCTGCTGCAGCTGGAGGCGGTGGCATGTGTAGGGGGACGCGACATAAAATTAAGTTGGAGGAGAAAGCAGGTCTTTGACTTAGCCGTAGCGCAAACCTTTCAAGCAATCGTAAGAACCGTATTTATTTATTTATTTATTTATTTATTTGTTTATTTGTTTATTTATTTATTTATTTATTTGTTTGTTTGTTTATTTGTTTGTCTGTTTATTTGTTTGTTTGTTTATTATTTGTTTGTTTGTTTATTATTTGTTTGTTTGTTTGTTTGTTTGTTTGTTTGTTTGTTTGTTTTGCGTTGCTGCGTCTCCCCTTGTCTCTTCCTGCTGCTGCTGCTGCTGCCACTGCTGCTGCTGCTGGTGCTGCTGCTGGTGCTGCTGTTTGAGTGTATCATCAGCACAAGCATCAGCAGCACTTTTTTTCTGTCTCCTCTTAGCCGAATCCATGCCTTCTTCTTGAATTTGTTGCTGTTGCTGCTTCTCCTGCTGCTGCTGCTGCTGCCTCTCCTGCTGCTGCTGCTGCTGCTGCTGCTGCTGCTGGTGAATGATATTTGCAGGTATCTGCTAGCGGTTCAGCTGTCTGTACAGCAGTAAAAGAGACAGAAGAAGTGCTACCAATGCCTCGGCCTCTGAATACTGTTGATCTCCTTAAGGCTGCATCACAGCGATTAGGAATGGGCCCGCAGCATGCTATGCAGGTATATACACTCCTGCTGCTGCTGCTGCTTCTTCTTCTTCTGCTGCTGCTGCTGCTGATGGTGCTGCTAATGCTGCTGCTGATGGTGCTGCTAATGCCGCTGATGCGGGTGGTGATGGTGCTGTTGCTCATGGTGTTGCTGCTTCTGCTGTTTCTGCTTCTGCTGCTGCTGCTTCATTGCTGCTGCTGCTGTTGCTGCTGCTGCTGCTGCAGGTGGCTGAGCGTTTATACTTGGGCGGCTTTATAACATATCCTCGCACAGAAACTTCAGCTTACCCTCCTTCGTTCGATGCGAGAGCAGCAATTGCTGCACACGCAGCAAATCCTTACTGGGGGCATCATGCTAAAGAAATACTACAAGTATACGCCTTTACTGCTGCTGCTGCTGCTGCTGCTAGTTCTGCTGCTAGTTCTGCTGCTAATGCTGCTGCTAGTTCTACTGCTAATGCTGCTGCTAGTGCTGCTGTTGCTGCTGCTGATAATAATGTGTTGGGCGTATGCCTGAGGCATGCGTGCTCCATCCCTTCTTGCATATTAATAAAATGTTGTTTTGATTTGCTGCTGCTGCTGTCTGCTTCCTCTGCTGCTGCTGCTACTTCCTCTGCTGCTGCTTCCTCTGCTGCTGCTGCTGCTGCTTCATCTCTGCTGCTGCTGCTGCTGCTGCTGCTGCAGCGAGGCCTTGCTACACCTCGTAAGGGAGAAGACTGCGGCGACCATCCGCCGATAACGCCAGTGAAGTCAGCAGTTGAAAGCGAAGTTGGAGGCGGCGACAGTTTCCGATTGTATGAATTGATATGTTTATATTTTTTATCTTCATTCGCCGGTCATTGCTTGTTTAAAAAGCACCAGGCCTTCTTCTTACTCTCTAGCGAAAGCTTTGTTTCAACCTCTAAGATATGTCTTTCACGCGGCTTCACAGCTATTCTTAAGAATGCAGAAAGAACAGAGACAGCCGATTTAACAAATATCAAAGTCGGAGACGCTCTACCTGTCTCCTCTGTCTCTCTTCAGGTATGTTTATATTCATTTGTTTATTTCTTTTATATTTATTTCTCTTGTTTATATTATTTATTTATTCTGTTTATATTCTTTGTTTTCTTTATTGTACTTGTTTTGTTTATTTCTTTTGCTTTATTATTTCTTTTGTTTTGTTTTATTTTTTATTATTATTTTTCTTCTTTGTTATTCTTGCGTCGTCTTTCTCGTAGTCTTTTGTCTCGTCGTCGTCTATCCCCTTTTTCTTTTACTTCTTTTTTTATCTTGTCTTTTTAACTTCTTTTTCTTTTACTGCTTTTTTATCTTATCTTTTCAACTTCTTTTTCTTTTACTTCTTTTTTTATTTTCTTTATCTTTTTAACTTCTTTTTCTTTTACTTCTTTTTTTCTTATCTTTTTAACTTCTTTTTCTTTTACTTGTCTTTCTTCTTTTTTTCTTTTTCTTCTTTTTGCTGTTTTTGTTTTTGTTTTTCTTTTTGTTTTTTTTTTCTTTTTTTGTTTTTTTCTTCTTTTTGCCTCTCCTTCTTCTTTCTTGTTTATGAACAGAAATACAATAAAAGAAAAAAAAAGAATTACACAAAATATTTTTTTAACTTTAAAAAATATTTTGTGTTTGTTGTTTTCGTTATTGCTGTTGTTTGAGTTGTAGTCGATTGCATGTTATATATATATATATATATATATATATATGAAGGTTTTTAAAGTAAAAGAAATATGCTGTTTAATTCTTTTGTTTTCTTTTATTATATTTCTGTTTATTAACAGGAGAGCAAAACATCTCCTCCTTCGTTTCTATCGGAGTCCGATTTACTTTCTTTATTAGACAAACACAGAATTGGGACGGATGCCTCCATGGCTACCCACATCAACAATATCTGTGAACGCAACTACGTCACTCTGGTCAGCAGCAGCAGCAACAGCAGCAGCAGCAGCAGCAGCTCCTGCAGCAGTAGTAGTAGTAGTAGTTGTTGTTGTTGTTGTTGGTGTTGTTGTTGGTGTATTAATAGGATTTATTTTTTCTGTTGTTTTGTTTGCTGTGAGGGTTTTCTTATTTGTTTTTGTTTTTGTTTTTGTGTATTTGTGTTGTTTATTGTTTTCGTTTTGTTTTTGTTGTTGTTATACTTCTTTTTTATTATTCTTTTGTCTTTATCTTATTTCATTTTATTTTATTTTTATTTTTAAATTTGGTTTTACTTAATTAATTTGTTTATTTATATGCTGATATACATAGCAGGGCATCACTTACAGGCTACGAAGTTGTATGCATATAACTAAATTAATTAATTTAATTACCTTAATGAATTTAATTAACTAAATTAACTAATTAATTAGTTATTTACTTAATTAATTTGTTTATTTATTTGTTTTTTTAGATTGCGGGGCGACAGCTACAGCCTACGAAGTTGGGTATTTGTCTCGTTCATGGATTAATGGCCATTGACCCTGAACTCGTTCTGCCCTTCGTCAGGGCCTCCATAGAACAACTTGTTGATGTTATTGCTAAGGGTAAATAAATAAATAAATAAATAAATAAATTAATTAATTAATTAATTAACTAATTAATTAATTAATAATATATATATTACTTGTTAATTAATTAATTATTTAATTAACTTATTAATTAATTATTTCGTTTAATCTATAAAATAAATAAAATAGTTCCGTAGAACAACTCGTTGATGTTATTGCTAAGGGTAAATAAATAAATAAACTAATAAATAAATAAATAAATTAATTAATTAATTAATTAATTATATATTTGTTAATTAATTAATTAATTAATTAACTTATTAATTAATTAATTAATTATTTCGTTTCATATATAAAATAAATAAAATACCTCCGTAGAACAACTCGTTGATGTTATTGATAGAGGTAAATACATAAATAAATAATTAGATAAATAAATAAATTAATTAGTTAATTCTTATATTATATATAAAACAAATAAACAATTACTTAATTAACTAAT